TGGCTGTACCCTTCTCCAGAACATCACTCCATCTGAGATCATATATACCCAGGATGACTCGAGTATGGAACACATTCGTACAGCATAATGATGTCAACGAGATAAAGTCAGTTGATCAAATGAAAATGCTGGCCCACAGATGGCTCCAATTTCATCCTGTTCCCTACTTGTATGTCTCATAACAATAAAAATGCTTTCAAACGAGCTGATGTAGGTATCAGCTCTTAGCTTGCCAATAAAGTTAGGAATCCTTAACCTGTAAATAGCTTGTCAATAAAGATAGGGATCCTTAACCTTGTCAAACCCTGTGTAAAAAAAAAAAAAAAAAGAGAGAATCCAAATTCAGTCAGTCAGGCAGCTAACCACCCTCCCACCCGGTGGGTGGTTAGCTGCTAGCCAGCCAGCCAGCCAGCCGAATACGTATTACACATGTTGCAGTGTTGTTTCTCTTTACTTAGGGTATAGGTTATAGTACATTCTGGCAGGATGACACTACCAGTGGTATTCTCCCATTCCATTGTGCTGACAATACTTAAAGATAACAGTAACATATGATACTGTATGAGATGTAAAATTTACAATACTGCCATGTATACATAATATACAGTACATAAATGATTAAAATATATCAATAGAAGTAAATTATGGTAAAAAGAATGAAATAATGTTTGTACATAACATTACAGTACTATGTAAGTAGTTTACATAGCAAAGGTTTGACATTATGCCCTACCCAGTATGTTGGCAATTTTCAAAGGTTCGACTTACGTCCATTTTGACTTACGACCAGTTGGTCGAAACCAAGCTCAGTCGTAAGTCGGATGGTACCTGTATTATGTATTGCAATAGAAATTTTTCAGCTCCATTATAATTTTATGAAACCACTCTCGTACAGTGGACCCCAGATGTCGTAATTATCGGTTTTCGTAATATTCGGTAATCGTAACTTCTTTCGTCAAAATATTGACTTGGTGATTGTCATTTACCTCAGTAATAGCCGTTCATCCTAAACGAATACGAGCGGCCCCACACACCATCTCACATTATTCACAGTCAGTCCAATATTGTTTATCAGCAAGTGACTGTCACCCCCACATGTTCATACATTTCAGAATAATCCATTCTTTTTTGTGCTTGCAACTACTAAATAAGCCACCATGGGCCAAAAGAAAGCCTCCAGTGCTAGCCCTTTGGTAAAGAAGGTGAGAAACACTGTAGAATTCAAGAAAGACATCATTGCAAAATATGAAAATGGAGTACATGTGGTAGAGCTTGCCAGGTTGTACAAGAAACTCCATACAACCATCGCTTCCATTGTGGCCAAGAAAAAGGAAATCAAGGAAGCTGTTGTTGCGAAAAGCGCAAATATGCTTACAAAACAGAGATCGCAAATAGTCGAAAATGTGGAGACTTTGTTGTTTGTTGTGGATCAACAAAAAACAGTTAGTAAGAGATAGTATTATGCAGTCGATAATTTGTGAAAAGGCAAGGCAGTAGCATGATGATCTCGTAAAGAAAATGCCTAGAACTAGTGCTAATGTTGGTGAATTTAGAGCCAGCAAAGGTTGGTTTGAGAGATTTAAGAAGCATAATGACATACAGTGTGGTAAGGCATGGCAAGGCTGCAAGTTCTGACAAACATGCGGCTGAAAAATATGTTCAGGAATTCAAGGGGTACATAGAGGCTGAACAATTCAAACCCTAACAAGTGTTCAATTGTGACAAATTAAGCCTCTTTTGGAAGAAAATGCCAAAGAGGACCTACATCATGCAGGAGGAAAAGGCACTCCCAGGACACAAGCCTATGGAAGAGAGGCTAACTCTCATGTTCTGTAGTAATGCTAGTGGGGATTTCAAAGTGAAGCCTTTACTGGTGTATCACTCTGAAAATCCCAGAGTGTTCAAGAAAGACAGTGTCATCAAGAGTAAATTGTGTGTGATGTGGAAGGCTAACAGTAAGGCATGGGTCACGAGGGAAATTTTCCTTGATTGGTTCAATGAAGTGTTTGGCCCAAGTGTGAAGAAATACCTCCTGGAAAATAAATTGAAACTCAAGTGCCTCCTGGTACTGGACAATGCTCCTGCTCATCCTCCAGACTTGGATGAGCAAACTGTGGAGGAGTTTCATTTCATCACAATGAAGTTTTTGTCCCCTAATACCACTCCTCTCCTCCAGGCCGTGGTCCAGCAGGTCATTTCAAACTTCAAAAAACTCTACACCCAAGCAATGTTTCAAAGGTGCTTTGACATAACCTCAGACACTGAACTGACCCTAAGAGAGTTCTGGAAAGATCACTTCAATATCCTCCATTGCATAAACCTTATAGGTAAAGCTTGGGAGGGAGTGACTTCCAGGACTTTGAACTCTGCTTGGAGAAAATTGTGGCCAGAACGTGTCCAAGAGAGGGATTCTGAAGGGTTTGGGGCTGACCCTGATGAGCCTATGACAGTTGTGGAAAGTATTGTGGCATTGGGGAATTCCATGGGGTTGGAGGTGAGTGGCAAGGATGTGGAAGAGTTAGTGGAGGACCACAAGGAAAAACTAACCACTGAAGAGCTGCAAGGCCTTCATCTGCAACAGCAACAGACCATAGCTGAGGAAATTGCTTCAGAAGAGAAGAAAGAGAGATGGAAGAAGGTGCCTTCTTCAAAGATTAAGGACACTTGTGCAAAGTGGAGTGAGGTGTAAACATTTATGGATGAACATCCCCTTGACAAAGCTGTTGCAGACTGTGTTGGCAACATGTACAATGACAATGTCATGTCCCATTTTAGGGAAAATTTAAAGAAACAACAGAAACAGAGCTCTCTGGAACACTTTTTTAAGCAACAGGGGTCCAGTGACTCTCAAGCTGGTCCTAGTGGCATTAAAAAACAAAGAAGGGAAGTAACCCCAGAAAAGGACTTGGTACCTGAAGTCTTTATGGAAGGGGATTCCCCTTCCAAACAAGAGTAACTCCTCCATCCTCTCCCCTCCTCCTGTCTTCCATACATCAACAAGTCTTCAATAAAGGTAAGTGTCCTGTTATTACTGTTTATACATGTCTCATTGTTTTCTGTGTAGGTAAATGTATAAATCATGTAAAAAAATTATTTTTTTTTTATACTTTGGGTGTCTGGAATGGATTAATTGGATTTACATTATTTCTTATGGGGAAAATGAATTTGGATATCATCAAATTCGGTTTTAGTCACTCTGCAAAGAATTATGATTATCGGGGGTCCACTGTATATACATGCATATACAATCCAATGTTGACAAAACGTCGCTATGCAGTGCATGACCATAAATGTACATCAATTATCTTTCAATGAGTTTTGATTCTCCACAGCAGATTACTCTGTGATCAGTCAAATGCCCTAGCTTTGTACTATGCTGAATGTCATGAAACTTCAGCCACTCACTGAACTCTAGCTCGAGAGACCTTCGAGCGAGCTTCTAAAGATTTTTGCTTATCCTTCTCTTCCGTCTCTTTATCAGAGTTGCCAGCAGAATTGGTCTTGGAATTAGCCGTGCTACTGTGCTCACTGTTAAGGCTGGCCAAGACACTTTCAAAATCTTCATAGTGTTTAATCCACTCGTCATCCTTGCCCTTATACCCAATACCTGGAAGAAAAGGAAAAAAAGTAATAACTGCATGTTAATAATCAGACATTTAAGTTGAATTCTCATGCAAATAATTCTGTCTAGACGCTTGATGTAGGAGAGATATCAGAGCAGTCTTGATGATAGAGCTATCAAAATTAACCCTTTGAGTGTCGCAAGCCCATTTCTGAAGCTGTCATTCTATGTCAAAAAATATTCGTAAAAAAAATTATTTTTTCTTGCCAAAATGTTAGGATTATTTTGCTGATTGTTGTAAGCTTAAAAAAAATTTTTGTGATCAGTACTTACCAAGATATAAAGGCATAAAGTTGGCAGAAAATGAGCCATGTATGGCAACAGCAGCGAATGCCGCTAACCCGGAACACTTGTTTTTAACTCCCATTCCAAGGTTTCTTGTTTTTTCCACTACTTTAATTTTTCAGGTAACTTATGTGGCCTGTGAGACCAAAGTAAGGTGCAATGTACATATATACAATTGTTGTATGCAACACAATAACTGTACACACATTATTATCATTATATTGTTTACAAATCTTGTTTACACAAACCAACAATACAAAAAATGTTTATTGCTATTGTTCTATAATATATATACAAATGTCCAATCACTGGACATGTTCCTTAAAGTTCTGCAGCTTGTGGAACTCTTTGAAACATGGTTTCATACACAATTGTGTTTTACACTCCTCACTCATAAAATGAGTGTTTCTGCATTTTTGTGGGCATTTTTTTGTATGTGCACAGACAAAAGACCTCATCTGAGCAGTTTTCTTCAAAGTAGTAGCAGGCAGTTGTGTTAGGCAGTTATCCTAGGTAAATGGTCATGTGTCATCATTCCTACCTACCTACCTTTCTTTCTTCATTCTTTCTCTCTTTCTTCATTCTTTCCTTCTTTCCTTCCTTCCTTCCTTCCTTCCTTTCTTCTTTCTGATTTCTATAATATATATATACAGTGGAACCTCCACTTGCGAGCGCATCCACATGCAAGTTTTTCCAAATACGAGCAGTCACTCGGTGGATTTTTTGCTTCCATACAGGAGCAAAATTTCCATAGGCAAGCGGGCCTCAAGGGAGGTTCCTTGACGCTGGTGAGGGGCTCCTGCTCTTATCTAGGGAATTGGATCTCATTTGTTTGTTGAACTACCTTATTGAAACTTGGGTAATGTATGATGGAAAGATGCTTCTTAACCCTTTCAGGGTCCGTCCCGTAGATCTAAGGCTTTACGTTCAGGGTCCAAACCATAGATCTACGCTAAAATTCTAGTGGCGTCAAATTTAGTACGAGAAGGCTGGTAGGCCTACATCTGAGAGAATGGGTCTGGGTGGTCAGTGTGCACACCATAGAAAAAATCTGGACGCCCGCATGGCATTGTGGGAACACTGGCAAAGTAGCTTTGTTCATTGTACCTGGCGGCAAGGAAGCTCTCACTCCCCACTCACTCCCCGGGCGAATTCTGACTCTCCTCTTCACAACTTACAGCTCTAAGACTGATGGAAGTGGAGATGAAGATGAATTCTATGGTTTTGAACCATATGGTACCATTGTGCCATATGGTACAATGGTACCATATGGTACAATGGTGCCATGTCAATGGTATCATATGGTACAATGGTATTGTATGGTAGAGTGGTACCATATGGTACAATGTACCATATAGTACATTGTACCATATGGTACAGGGTACAGGGACCCTAATGGAAATAAGTCTGTCTGACATTTTTGGGTTATCATAGGTTCTCCAAACATATGCTGCTAAGTATGATATTCTATGTAACTTTATTTGTGTATAACTAAATAAACTTACTTATGATGCCACATGCACTTGAGTAAGTTTATTCAGGTGTACAGAAATACAATTACATAGATTATCATACATAGCAGCATATGTATAAAATCCTAGGATAACCCAAAAAAGTCAGGGTGACTTATTTCCATAGTTATCCCTGTATCTGTACCATATGGTGTCCTGTACTGTATGGTACTCTGTGCCATATGGTACCCTGTGCCATATGGTACCCTGTGCCATATGGTACCCTGTACCATATGTTATCCTGTACTGCATGGTACCCTATACCATATAGTACAATGTACCATATGGTACCCTGTAACATATGATACCGTGTACCATATGTGTTGGTGGCATGAGACACCAGCCAAGACTGAGTGAGTGGCGACACAAGCTAGCTACTGACTCTCCAGTTTCTGAGACAAAGTGCTTTGTCATCCACCTCAAGGAACACGTCAAGTTCCTGTACACTTGTAAATATATAATAGAACATTACTAATATATAACATTTTTGCATATTTTTGTTGTAAACAATTATTGTAAACAAAATAATGATGAAAATATTAGTGTGTTTGTGTTGAATACAACAGTACCATATGGTACCATTGCATCATATGGTACCATTACACCATATGGTACCATAAGGTACCATTGCACCATATGGTACCATTGTATCATATGGTACCATTGTACCAAATGGTGCCATTGTACCATATGGTACCATTGTATCATATGGTACCATTCTATCATATGGTACCATTGTACCAAATGGTGCCATTGTACCATATGGTACAATGTACTATATGGTACCATTACATCATATTGCATTGTACCATATGGTACAATTGCAATATGGTATTGTACTGTATGGTACAATGTACCATATGGTACCATTACACCATATGGTACCATAAGGTACCATTGCACCATATGGTACCATTGTATCATATGGTACCATTGTACCAAATGGTGCCATTGTACCATATGGTACCATTGTATCATATGGTACCATTGTATCATATGGTACCATTGTACCAAATGGTGCCATTGTACCATATGGTACCATTGTATCATATGGTACCATTGTATCATGTGCCATTGTACCATATTGTACCATATGGTACCATTGTATCATATGGTGTCATTGTACCATATGGTACCATTGCACCCTATGGCACCATTGTACCATATGGTGCCATTGTATTCAACACAATAACCAGACAAATATTTTCATCATTTTGTTTACAATAAACTTGTACACAAGTTTTGTAAGCAATATAATGATAAACAAATTAGTGCAGTTAGTGTTGAATACAATGAGTGTACACTTATACAATATACATTATACTGGTCTCACAGGCCACAAATGTTATTAGAAAAAGAAAAAAATTAGAAAAGAAAAGAAAAAAGTATAAAAAACGTAAAATAAAAAAATGGGATTTTGCGGAAGTCACTGATGTTGCCGCCACCCGGTCATTGTGAGTCAACTTCCCTCCACTGTATCTCGCTAAGTACTGATCAGAATTTTTTTTTTTTGTCTTATTACCTTCACAAAAATATACTCTTTAATTCTGTAAGAAAATTTTTTTTTTTTTTTTTTTCAACATTTCTTGGACACTGGAGCACCACTTCAGATTTTGGCCTTGGACCCTGAAGGGGTTAACCCTTTCAGGGTCCAAGGCCCAAATCTGGAGTCACGCACCAGTGTCCAAGAATTTTCAAAAAAAAAATTTGTTATTTTTTCTTATGAAATCGTAGAGAATCTTTTTGTGAAGGTAATAAAACAAAAAGTACGAAATTTGGTGGAAAATTGACGAAATTATGCTCTCGCGAATTTTGATGTGTCAGCGATATTTACGAATTGGCGATTTTGCCGACTTTGACTCCCATTTTAGGCCAATTACATTATTCCAATCAACCAAATTCTTAGCTATTTCACTAGTATTACTTCTATTCTATCGATTGAGCACAAGAAATCGCCAAGTCAACTGTTTCAACTACAAAATAAAGTGATCGGAAATTGTTAATTTGGCCAATTTAACACAAAGTTCAAAATATTCCAATTTCAAAATAGGGTCCAAAATAAACAATGTAGGCATTCCTGGCACTAAACTAACATTTCCTCTGTTCATTAGTCATGTTTTGAGGCTTTACAAATAAATTCCATTTTGATTTTTTATTCACATAATGAATTTTTATTCACACCAAAAAATAGAAGATTTACTGCTATGCAATACTGTAATAATTGTATAAATATCATCACCATATTTGTGAATGTATATTAGACCCACCAGCTGACGTGTATTAGACGTGTGAGGTCGTTTGTTTACTCTTGAATATCGGCAAAAATTTAACATTTCCGCTACTTTGAGCTCAGTTTCAAGCCATTTCCAGTGCTAAAACCAATCAAAATCATCTCTATTTCTGTAATATGTCTTCCATTCTATCAAATGAGACCAAGAAATCGCAAATACAACTATAAAAAACATACGAAAAAACACTGCAAAGTTGCTGTTTTAATCAAAAAATCATGATTTCAGTTTTTTTCTCTCATTATACACAGTGTGCTGCAGGATCTGTTTTATGTGGTGCACACATACCACATAGATGTATTCTCTCATATCTAGGCCCAAATGTACCACTCACAGTTTATCAGAGTGAGCTGAGCTCATGGCGTAGATCTACGGTTTGGACACTCACCATAAAGCCGTAGATCTACGGGACGGACCCTGAAAGGGTTATTGTACACAAAACATGAAAGAAATCAGACCATAAATAACGGAGTTTACTTCCCAGCCATTAACCGCCCCTTAGCGATATATTTCCATATGGTTTTTATGGCTGTATTCTCGTTTTTTGGTCTCATTTGAAAGAATGGAAGATATACTACAGAAATGGATATGATTTTGATTGGTTTCACGATGAAAAGTACCTTGAAATTGAGCTCAAACTAGCAGAAATGTTTGATTTTTGCAGATGTTCAAGAGTAAACAAATGACTTTATTGTCCAGTGTGTATTCAACTGGCCAGTCTAATAATGGGTTGACATTATTTATACAATTATTATAATAATGCAGTAGTCTGCATAACAGTAAATCTTCTATCATTATAATCTTCTATTATTATTGTTATAATCTTGTAGTGAATATATCATGTTTCTATGTTATTAATATTGTTTATTATGTCATATTAGATGAATTGTGATAGACAAATAAGCCGTGCAGATGATATTAGCGAGAGTGGGTGAGATGTTATCAACAAATTTTGCTGAAAATAAGAAAAAGTTTTGGAGTGAGATTAACAAGCTGAGGAAGCCTAGGGAACAAATGGATTTGTCAGTTAAAATTAGGAAAGGAGAATTATTAAATGGAGAGTTAGGGGTATCGGGAAGATGGAGGGAATATTTAGAGGAATTGTTCAATGCTGATGAAGATAGGGAAGTTGTGATTTCCTGTATAGGGCAAGGAGTATTAACATCTTGTAGGAGTGAGGAAGAGCCAGTTGTGAATGTGGGGGAAGTTCATGAGGCAGTGGGTAGAATGAAAGGGGGTAAGGCAGCTGGGATTGATGGGATAAAGATAGAAAAGTTACAAGCAGGTGGGGATATAGTTTTGGAGTGGTTAGTGCTATTATTTAATAAATGTATGGAAGAGGGTAAGGTGCCTAAGGGATTGGCAGAGAGCGTGCATAGAGCGTACATCACAACACTGAACTACAATTACATATTCACTTTTGTTTTTGTAAGATGAAGAAGCCTAAAAAAAAAAAAAAGTTTGTTTTTTTTGGGGCTCCCAAGAATGTAATCCTATTTTTCCCATAAGGTCTTCTATTCATCTAACATGGTTTTACCTAACACGGCATTTTCAGGAATGTAACTACCATGTTAAATGACGGTCTACTGTAATAGACACTTACCACACAGATCTATTTTCTCATATGTAGGCCCAAATTTACCGGTCACAGCTTATCTGAGTGAGCTGAGCTCATGGCGACCAACAGTGGCTTCAAAGCCACTTTATCTTTTATGGACAATCTACAGTGTGCAAGTACCATCCAACTTATGACTGAGCTAGGTTCTGACCAACCAGTCGTAAGTCAAAATGGACGCAAGTCAAACCTTAGAAAATTGCCGACATACTGGTAGGGCATAATGTCAAACCTTTGCTATATAAAGTACCAACATAGTATCATATGTTACTTTTTACTAAATATTTTACTACTGTATATGCCGCCAGATGTATGTTACTTTTTGCTAAATATTTTACTACTGTATATGCTGCCAGACATATGGTCGTAAGTACGAGTGGTTGTATGTTCAGTAGGTCGTAAGTCGGATGGTACCTGTATGTACTTTACACAATTAGAAGCATTGCTTTTATTCTCTGGAACCATGGTGAGGGCTAAAAGCAAGAAGTTTCTAACAATAAATGGAGAAAAAAAAATTGGAATGACTCTTGCAGCAAGTAGCGCCACCAAACAGTAGCAGCAGGTTGGTGTGGCAACCTCGGAAATTTGAAATTACGCTAGCCAAAATTAGTGCCGGATTACTGGTGGAACTGGATTACTGGTGGAATCGGATTACTGATTGATGGATTAGTGATGGCTGACCTGTACTAGGTCCATGAAAACCTTCCTAGTTTATAAAAATACACCTGGCTGGATGAATCTTATTAGGCTGCTATGATACAGTGGCTAGCACACTGCTTGCTAGGTTTAGCACTGGCTGGCCATGGGTTCGAACTCCCACTCAGTTCTGTGCATGCATACAAGAAATACTGTAATAGGGATTTAGTCATAAAACAGTATTTAATAGTGAAGACAGTAAGACAATGTTTTGGTGAAGACATTAAGACAACTAACCCATTAACTGTCCAAACGTAGATCTACGTTCTCTCGCCCAGCACTCCAAATATTTAAAAAAAAAAAATCTGTTTTTTATAGAAATAAAGATCGCATTTTTCTACGTGACATAGGATAAAAAAAAAATTTAGGGTCAGTACCCACTGAGATATGAGCCTGCGAAGTTGGCCTTGATGCTCATCGGCAACATGGAGTCCTGCCGCTTGCAGAAGTGTTGCCGATATACCTTTTTTTCTCATTTTCATATATTTTATATAATTTTTATGTTCTGATAATTACTATTTATAGTAGTTCTTGTGATCTGATAGCCAATCTTTGTTCTGACACTAATATTAGATACTGAAACAGTACTCAAATAGTCACGAACACAGTGACAGGTGAACATTTTCACCTACCTTAGTCACATACTATTGTCTAGAAATATATACATAGTATTATAACAATAACAAGTTCCCACTACAGACAGCACACTCCACCAATATTCAAAACTCTAAACCTACTCACAATACAAAACATCCATACTTATTACTGCACCTACTACATACATAGAACACTTAACTCTGACATAAACCCTCCCCTCAAACATCTCCTTACCAACCTCAACAGAACACATGACCATAACACAAGGCACAGATCACTCTTTGATGTTCCTCGAGTCCATCGCACGCTATGCAAAAACTCAATGCACATAAAAGGCCCTAAAATCTGGAATTCATTGCCTGTGAATATAAAAGAAACACTGTCTGTTTATAAATTCAAGTCTCTTCTCAAAAATCACTTACTCACCCACAACTAAATAATTACTGAATAATTGTATCTCATAAATTGTATCTCATACCAACGAATTTGTTCCCATAAGGAATAATGTAAATTAGATTAGTCCATTTCAGACCCCCAAAAATACACTTACAAAAGCACTTACAATAATACAGTAACATAACTGTTTGAGTTGGGAGGCAGCCAAAACTCGGGGTACCACTGTATATGTATTTAATAGTACAAAATTACATAAAGCACCAATTTCAGGAACCTAAGCATCATGTTACGTGAGGTCTGCACATACTGTAGGTGAATTTTTGAAAGGTACCATCATAAACATTTCCTTGTACCTTATAGAGCACTATCACTCGTTCCAACATTAATCCAGTTAACCATTGCTTCTTGTATCATCTACACAGCTAACATGCTTCTCTCACCAGGGAAATACTGTAATGAATCCTTCACACAACACCAGGTATACTTGTGTACAAGGACTGTACAAAAAAGGGGATAATCAGTTGCTAGTTATGGCCAAGGAAAAAATAAAAATTACACAAATAACTCTCAAATAGGAGAAATAAACATTACAATGTTTCAGTCTAACTTGGCCCATTAACTACCCATTAGTTGATAGTTCAAGTCAGACCAAAACATCATCATAAGTTCCTTTCTCTTATGTGCAGGTTATTTGTGTACTGTTCCAGTCACATTATTGAGCCTTTTTATTTTTTAATAAAAATTACCTTTGGAATTGTTTTTATACTTGACAGAAATGTGTTGTGGATTGCCTTGCTCCTCACGTCCCAAACCTTTGCCCTTTGACCAACCCATCTTCTCCATCAACTTTTGGCCAAACTTGTTATCATCTGAAACAAATATTGCAAAGCACCATAACTCATAATAACACAACAGACATCAACTAAAGCACAGTGGTAATAATTAGCAGATGGCTTCATATGTTAATGAAATTTTACCAGAGCAATCTAAGTACAGTAATTAGACATGATCAACACTCGGGTAGCTCTATTTGAAGATGTTTTGCCAACTAGTAGTTTGTGGTCAATTCAATACAGAGTTGAAATAAGAAGACTGTAGGAAAAGAAGTAATCAGTCCCTCAGTCTTGCAGAGCCACCATATACACAACAGACAGTGGAAGACGAGGTAATCAGTCCCTCAGACTAAGGTACTGAACACCAGCTTTGAAGTTGAGGGACTAATCATTTCGTCTTCCACTTTCGGTGAAAAACTGGAATAAAGGAGTACAAAGGAGAAGGAAGCAAAATACACGCAGTTCTGTAACAAAAAAAATTATTTCAAGCCCTTAACTCTTTCATTGTCCGTGACATAGATCTATGTTACTTATGCCAGGGTGCTTCTCGCAGATCTGTCTTGAGCTCAGCTCACTCACCAAGTGGTAAATTTTGGTCAATATGCGGCGAGTGTGCACAGTACAGGTCCTCCATCACAAATCCGGCATCATTGGAACCTGTAGTGTGCTGGATTACTGAGTTTGCTGAATTACAGAGTGGTTAGGTTAGAATATACTTAATAAAATTAACCAAATTGACTTTCACAAAGTTCATTGAACATTGGCAAAAATCGAACATTTCCGCTACTTTGAGCTCAATTTCAAGGTACTTTTCGTCATGAAAGCAATCAAAATCATGTCTATTTCTGTAATATATCTTCCATTCTATCAAACAAGTCCAAAAAAATGAGAATACAACCATAAAAACCACATGAAAAAATACTGCAAAGAGGAAGCTAATGGCTGAGAAGTGAACTCCCTTATTTATCGTCCGTCTTTTTTATTTTTGTTGTACGTTAAGAAGCAACTTTCCATCATACATTGCCCAAGTTTCAATGAGACAGCCCAACAAACCAAGAAAAAAAAACATTTACCAAAAATCATATATGGCAAGCCCAAGCCAGGTACTGGAAATAAGTCACTTTGTCTGACTCGTTTTGGGTTATCCTAGGTTCGCTATGTATGACAATCTATGTAACTGTATTTGTGTATACCTGAATAAGCTTATTTACTTCTAGTCTGTCAACTGAGTACAAGAAACCACCCATTCACTTATTTCAACTACCCAATAAAGTGGTCAGAAATTGGCAATTTGGCCGATTTCACACAAATTTCAACAGATGCCAATTTCAAAATAGAGTCCAGAATAAACAATGCAGACATTCCTAGCACTAAAATAACATTTTCTCTGTTAATTAGTCACGGCTACAGGCCCCTTTTATATTACTCTTGCTTACCATTTGGAATTTTTATTCACAAAAAAATAGAAGATTTACTGTTATGCAGACTGCTGCATTATTGTAATAATTGTATAAATAATGTCAACCCATTCTTGACTCCGTACTGGAATTTGGACTGGCAGGCGGACAGGTATTGGACGGTGATGTCATCTGTTTACTCTTGAGCTTCGCTAAAGAATAGAACATTTTTGCTACTGTGAGCGCAATTTCAAGGTACTTTTCGTCATGAAAGCAATCAAAATCATATCTATTTCTGTAATATATCTTTCATTCTATCAAATGAGACCAAAAAAATGAGAATATAACCATAATAACCATACAAAAATATACCGCTAAGCGGCCGCTAATGGCTGAGAAGTGAACTCCGCTATTTATGGTCTGATTTCTTTCATTTTTGGTGTACGTTAAGAACTATCTTTCCATCATACATTGCCCAAGTTTCAATAAGATAACCCAACAAACAATTGAGAAAATAATATAATAATAATAATAATAATAATAATAATAATAATAATAATAATAATAATAATATTTTTATTTACTACATGTACATGTACAAGGTATACAAGGCCTAGCTGACATCAGTGACATACTACTATATAGAAAGCCGCTTGTTATGCAGAGTACAGTGGACCCCCGCATAACGATCACCTCCGAATGCGACCAATTATGTAAGTGTATTTATGTAAGTGCGTTTGTACGTGTATGTTTGGGGGTCTGAAATGGACTAATCTACTTCACAATATTCCTTATGGGAATAAATTCGGTCAGTACTGGCACCTGAACATACTTCTGGAGTGAAAAAATATCGTTAACCGGGGGTCCACTGTATTTCAAGAAAATTAAGTCATTGTCTCAGGATAACACCCACACCAGTCGGCTAACACCCAGGTACCCATTTACTGATGGGTAAACATAGACAACAGGTGTAAAGAAACACGCCTAATGTTTCTACCCTGGCTGGGAATCCAATATTTACCACAAATCATATATGGCTAACCCAAGCCAAGTACCAGAAATAAGCCACATTAAGTGTTTTGGGTTATCCTAGGTTCTCTACACATATGCTGCTACGTGTGAAAATCTATATAGAGAAAATAACTTTTTTTCAGGTTTATGGTGCAGTATGAGTGTATATCACAGTTAGCCCTGTGCTACACTCCGTTTTCTCTAATATAAGCCACCAAGATAGGGATAGGAGAATAGTATTTGTATACCATATCCTCTTCATACCTCAGTCGAACTGCTCGGTGTTATGCCAAATATTATTTATTCTGGAGTATTTAACATGTTTTATGTTATTTATGTTGTTTATTACATCATATTAGATCAACTGTGATAGTCAAATAAGCTGTAGTGTTGATATTAGCATAATAATAAAGCATATTCTCCTGGATCATGAGACTGAGCTCATAGCAACCGACAGTGGCTTCAAAGCCACCTTATCTTTCATGGATAATGTACTGTGTAGGTGCTTTACATAATGAGAAGCATTTCTTTTATTCATTGGAACCATGGCTAGGGCTAAAAGTAAGCAAGTTATAACAATAAATGGATAAAAAGAAACTGGAATCACTTATGCAGCAAGTAGTGCCACCAAACAGTACCAGCAGGTTGGTGCGGCGACCCTGGAAATTTGAAATTATGCTAGCCAAAATTAGTGCTGAATAACTGAAGGAACCGAATAACTGATTGCCGGATTTGTGATAGCGGACCTGTATAAAAAAGAAACCCTGCCCCACATGGGGCATGATGGGGAAAACAAGACTTTGGTTTAAAATAATTTTGAGATGTTTTCTAGGATGGCTTTTATAGTTCAAATGGTTATTTCTTGGTATCGCCAAACAGAATGGAAGACATACTACTGAAATTGAGGTTATTTTGGTTGGTTTCAGAAGCTGAAAAATTAAATTTTTGCCAGTTTTCCTTAGGACGGGTAAGGTCCCAACACCCCCAGTCTGTTTTATGGGTTTTTAATAGGTCTGAGCCAATCCTTCATGGTTATATTTTATTATCCAAGAAATGGGGTAAACATTCAATTTTTTGTGAGTAGGAGAATTCAAAAGGGAAGACGTGTAATACAGGAGAGGCCTGGTTGGGGGTGTGATTAATGAACAGAAGAAATGTTGTTTTAGTGCCAGGAATGTTTAGAGTTACAGTGGACCCCCGCCTAACGTTGGCATCACATAACATTAAATCCGCCTAGCGATACATTTTATCGCTAAAATTTTGCCTCGCCTAGTGCTAAAAAACTCACTCAACGCAATTCGTCCGAGACGCATCCATGTGCGGCCTGAGCCAGCCTCACTTGTTCCGCCGGTGGCATTGTTTACAAACCAGCCTCAGCGGTAACATCCAAGCATACAATCGGAACATTTCGTATTATTACAGCATTTTTAGTGAGTTCACCTGCAAAATAAGTGACCATGGGCCCCAAGAAAGCTTCTAGTGCCAACCCTACAGGAATAAGGGTGAGAATTACTATGGATATGAAGAAAGAGATCATTGCTAAGTATGAAAGTGGAGTGCGTGTCTCCGAGCTGGCCAGGTTGTACAGTAAATTCCAATCAACCATCGCTACCATTGTGTCCAAGAAAACGGCAATCAAGGAAGCTGTTCTTGCCAAAGGTGCAACTTTGTTTTCGAAACAGAGATCGCAAGTGATAGAAGATGTTGAGAGACTGTTATTGGTGTGGATAAACGAAAAACAGATAGCAGAAGATAGCATCTTTCAAGCGATCATGAGTGAAAAGGCTAGGAAGTTGCATGAGGAATTAATTAGAAAAATGCCTGCAACTAGTGATGATGTGAGTGAATTTAAGGCCAGCAAATGTTGGTTTGAGAGATTTAAGAAGCATAGTGGCATACATAGTGTGATAAGGCATGGTGAGGCTGCCAGTTCGGACCACAAAGCAGCTGAAAAATATGTGCAGGAATTCAAGGAGTACATAGACAGTGAAGGACTGAAAACTGAACAAGGGTTTAATTGTGACGAAACAGGCCTGTTTTGGAAGAAAATGCCAAGCAGGACCTACATTAGTCAGGAGGAAAAGGCACTCCCAGGACATAAGCCTATGAAAGACAGGCTTACCCCTCTGAGTGTCCCAAATGCTAGTGGTGATTGCAAAGTGAAGCCTTTATTGGTGTATCACTCTGAAACTCCCAGAGCGTTCAGGCAAAAGAATATCCTCAAGGCTAATTTGTGTATGCTGTGGAGGGCAAACAGTAAGGCATGGGTCACTAGGGACTTTTTCTATGACTGGTTACACCATGCATTTGCCCCCACTGTGAAAAATTACCTAATTGAAAATAAATTAGACCTTAAGTGCCTCCTGGTGTTAGACAATGCCCCTGGTCATCCTACAGACTTGGCAGAGCAACTTTGTGGGGACATGAGCTTCATTAACCCTTTGACTGTTTCAGGGCCCTCTCTGAAACTGTCATTCTATGTCGCCAAATATTCGAAAAAAAAAAAATTATTTTTTCTTATGAAAATGTTAGGAATATTTTTACTAGTGTTTTAAGCCTAAAAAAAATTTTTTGCCATCAGTACTTACGAGATATAGAGCCGCAAAGTTTGCAGAAATTGACGTGCGAAACGGCAACGCGGCGACTGCCCCCCATGGGTTTATTCTTTTATTTACTCTAATTCAAAGGTTTCTTGCATTTTTCAATATTTTTCTTTTCCAGGTAACTTATGTGGCCTGTGAGACCAATGAAAGGGTTTGCATTGTTAAAATTATACACTCATTTTTACAACACAATAACAGAACAAACTTTAAATCACTATTGTTTGTGTATACACTTTGTTTACACAAACAAACAATCAAAACAATGTTATTACTATTGTTCCATAATATATATAAATATGTACAGTCATAAGCACGTTCCTAGAACTGCTGCAGCTTGGGGAAAACTCTTTGAAACATGGTATATGCAGAGGGGCACTTCACACTCCTCACACATAAAACGAGTGTCTCTGCGTGTTTGTGGGCTTTTTTTGTGGTATGCATACATACATAACACCTCTTTGAGCATTTTTCTTGGCAGTAGTAGGAGGCAGTTGTATGGGTAGTGATACCAGGCCTCAAACGAGATGACGTCTGTGGGCGTTTGGTCTATTGCAGGAGTTGCTCCTTTGTACTTTGCAATTATTTGTCTGATTATGACAGGCAAAATTCACCATATTTTGGTGTTTTGTTGGTCTTCAACTTGTAT